CAGAATGAACCGCCAACAACTCTGGCATATGTTATACACAGCGGATGCCCTTCCAGTCGCAACCCAGTGTGCTGGAAAATACCTATAGACTGTCTCATTCAGGCACACACTCATACACGACAGCCAATTTATTTAATTCACCTCCTACCATCTTTTGACAGTGTGGGAAACCCACACAAACATGGGAAGAACATGCAAACTCCAGTAGCAATAATACTTACTCACTTACTTGCCCCCAGGGCCATTTATTTCGAAGTTGATTTTTAGCCGCACCATGTTTCATAACATGTCATTTTTACAAGGTGGGTCGTAAGCCCAATGCTCAATCCTCAACCTGGAGGACCAGGACATACACACATACACTACGGACACTTTAGCTTACCAAATTTACCTAACGCATCTCTTTGGATTGTGGGGGAAACCGGAGTACCCGGAGAAAACCCACCTGAACACGGGGAGAACATGCAAACTCCACACAGAAATGCCAACTGACCCAGCCGGGGCTCGAACCAGCGACCCTCTTGCTGTGAGGCAGCAGGGCTACCCACTCCGCCACCCTGCTGCCCAGTAGCAATTATCATTCGTTCATTTTCTTGTCGGCTTAGTCCCTTTATCAATCTAGGGTTGCAACAGTAGAATGAACCGCCAACTTATCCAGCATATGTTTTTACGCTGTGGATGCCCTTCCAGCTGCAACCCATCTCTGGGAAACATCCATACACACTCATACACTACAGACAATTTAGCCTACCCAATTCACCTGTACCGCATGTCTTTGGACTTGTGGGGGAAACAGAAGCACCCGGAGGAAACCCACACGAATGCGGGGAGAACATGCAAACTCCACACAGATAGCCAAGGCTCGAATCAGCGACCTTCTTGCTGTGAGGCGACAGCACTACATCCTGCGCCACTGCGTCACCATTAGCGATTACATTTACTCCAAATATTTCAGCACAATAGATCAGCATACACATTTATTAGTAGTAAACATTGCATTCCCTCTAGTATTATTCCCAACCTTGTCCAAGCAGAACACTCATACTTGGTATTGCGGTTAAATGTTCAGAAGAATATCATGAAGCAAGAAGCATTAAACGTCCTCAAAAAAGTCTTGCGTAAAATATGCCGGTCGGAGCTTCCTGTTTTATAGGCTGTAGTGACTCAAAAAATACATCCACCCAAGACGCAGTAATAATCAAAAAGAGTTTCCTCATTAAAATCCCAGAGCCACAGAAAGAGACCCACAGAGAGAACGAGAGCGAGAAGAGGATGGAGAAGAGAACATGAGGAGAGGAATAGGGTAGAGCGATGACATCATCTCTCTACACTGTTTTCTTTCCCTAGCATGCATCTCTCTCTCTCTCTCTCTCTCTCTCTCTCTCTCTCTCTCTCTCTCTCTCTCTCTCTCTCTCTTAGTCCCACTGTTGCTTGGCTGCTCTATATTTAGCTTTGCATCTACAACATTACAGCATGTTTAACAGAGCAACGACTGGTCTAACCACTCATCATTTAACCTTACACATCAATTTGGCTGCTATATATCTTCACACAAGATGTAGCGTTCACATTCCCTTCATGACTGCGTTAAGTTCACATTTTAATTGAGTTCTCCTCCTCATGTCTCCTCCCCTATCTCTTCACACTTTTCCCTGGGCGATTTCCTTTTTTCTGTTCTGACTGCTGTGGCTGTGTCATGCTCTCTATATCCATCGACAAACACACACACACATCCTTACATAACAGCATCTTTTCATGACACCCGTCTCTTTATTCAGAGCTTCTTCATATTTTATTCAGTCTCCTTTGACCTCACCTGCTGCACTCCTAGTTGTGTTATATTTTCTGTACTAGGAATGTTAAGACTAATTCATTTTTGATGAAGAGTAATTGGATGAAGAGGCAAGCTGAGGCTGAAAGAAAAAAGAAAAGTGAGACAGAAAGAGTGATTCACATTCCCAAGTACAAGAAGAACAGTAAGGCCTGTAGGTTGTGTTGCGTTTTTTGGATGAATAGAGTGGATTGTCATGGTTATTGTGGCTCGAGGCGCTACGTCCACAGAGGGCGAGACAGCGCGGGGTTAAAGATAGCACCCGCTAATCCTGTTAGCACCAGACGCCTCCACTCATTTCTCATTAGCATCTCGTCCATCCACTTCAAGAAATCTACATTAATATGCTCTATAGATCCAAGTGTCTGTATAACTCCACCAAGCTTTAATGTGATGTGCTTGAAAATCTTTAATAGTGCATATACTTAGGAAGAAATGATGGTACACTTCCTTTTCGCTGTACAAAAGGAGTGTGTTCTGAGAAATATTCTTCACTTTAAAGCCCTAAGCATACTTTAGTTTTTTATGGTTAAATGCGCAGCCTTTTAAAGTATTGATGTTAGTGTATGTTAACACACTTGACAAACATGCACTAGAAGAATTCATCTTTTTCTAGTGTGATATGAATGTCTTTGTAGTTTTTAAAAGGGAGTTGTGTGTTTATTTTAATCTCCTGACACATGCATCAATGGGGCCCTTTAATGTTTTAGAAATCTTTTGTTGGCTGTTTTTGTCTTTTGTATCTTACGTTTTATTCTGACTATCAAACTAGAGTTTGGTTCAGTGTTGAAATCTTTAGTTATGCAAAGTGGTGGAAAACAATCCAAAATGTAAGAGTGATCTGTGCGTATAGAGTATGTATGGTTATAAGCAGGTATTTATGGTTATTGCACATGTCAGTGCAATGGCAAGCTCAACAACCAGTGCAATAGCTATACTTGCATTATGCAATTTATACAACAGTTCTGTCTGGTTCTTGAATCTGATTGGTTGATAGCCGTGCAATATTCTGGAGTAAAACATATGCTGGATACGTTGGAGGTTGGTGACCCCTGATTAATAAAGGGACTAAACCAAAAAGAAAATGAGGGAATGAATAAATGAAATTTAACCATTTGTAACTTTAATAATAGGTAATTTTATTGAATTATTATTATTACTATTCAATAACTGTACCTGAATACTTTTAGACTCAGAAAATGATAAACAAAAAACAATTTTCTTTACTGTATTAATTTGCTTATTAGATTTTATGTAAATGCATTCCCACTACAGAAACATCCCTAATCAATCTAAGCTTATAAATACTTTCCAAATAGAGACATTCAAGTCATCTGGAGAAACTCTATTCAAATCACATTAATTATTGCAGAATAAAAAAATACCGCAATGTTAAATTTTTTTCAATTACGTTCAGCCTTAGGGGCGAAGCAGTGGCGCAGTAGGTAGTGCTGTTGCCTCATAGCAAGAAGGTTGCTGGTTTGATCCTTGGCTCAGTTGGCGTTTCTGTATGGAGTTTGCATGTTCTCCCTGAGTTCGCGTGGGTTTCCTCTGGGTGCTTCGGTTTCCCTAACAGTCCAAAGACATGTGGCAACGGTGAATTGGGTAGGCTAAATTATCCTTGAGTGTGTGTGAATGAGTATTTGTGGCTGTTTCCCAGTGATGGATTATGGCTGGAAGGGCATCCGCTGCGTAAAAACGTGCTGGATAAGTTGGCAGTTCATTCCGCTGTGGTGACCCCAGATTAATAAAGGGACTAAGCCGACAAGAAAATGAATGAATGAATGAATGTTCAGCCTTAGTCTATATGTAATAAAAACACATAAAAATTGCTGACCTGACATGGTACAATTGTTCATATTGGCATTTAACATATTGTTATGATTAAATTTTAAGATGCTTACACTTCCTCGATACAGTACTAATAATGAAATTTGCATTAAATCCATTCATTCATTTTCTTTTCAGCTTAGTCCCGTTATTAATCAGGGATCACCAACCGCCAACTTATCTAGCATATGTTTTATGCAACGGATGCGCTTCCTGCTGCAACCCATCACTGGGAAACACCCATACATTCTCAATCATACGGACAATTTAGCTTACCCAATTCACCTGTACCGCATGTCTTTGGAGTTGTGGGGGTAACCGGACACCCAGAGGAAACCCATGCTATCACCAGGAGAACATTCAAATTTCGCACAAAAATGGCAACTGACCCAGCCGAAGCTCAAACCAGTGACTTTCTTGCTGTGACGCGAGAGCACTGCCCACTGCGCCACTCCGTCACCCACATCAAATCCAAGTAAAAACTAAAATATACTTTGAACTTTAGATTGAATGGACAAAAAGAGCTGTAGACAGGAAAGATGCAGAATTTTGCAAACTTTTAGATGCCACAGACCACTGTATATAAAAAAATCAAAATATATTAAAAATAATTTTAGAAAAATACTTAGTCTTTGTTTTTTTAAAATAATAATATTTTTTTCTACTCTATGTATGTCCATACATTTATATACTTATTTCATTATTCATTTTAATCTAAATTGTATTTATGTGCTTGGTTTATTTTTTTATTATTTATTTGTTTTAATAAAATGTTTGAAAACAAAAATTTGAATAAAGTTTCTTTCATTAAATAATTTTAATAAAACATTAAAAACATTAATATGCATTAAAAACATTAAACCATAATATTTATAATTTTTAATTTACAACCTTAATAAACTTTAAGGTTTGCTTAACTTATTTTTATCTTTATTTTATTAATTATTTAAAAAAAAAATTCTTCAAACACATTCATGGACCCCCCTTTCATTTCATTCCCACTCTGCAGTTTTAAAACCCTTATTTTAATGGTTTACTGTGCTAAGAGAGTAAAAATAATACTGTGATGGTACCATGGTACAGTTCTGTGATCAGATTTATGTACAAAATATAGTTTTTATCACAGTATTAAAAAACTATTTTTTTTTAGAAAGAAAACAACTCACAAAAATGACTATGCATTTCCAAGGTTTCTTTATCCAAAGCAAATCCTAATAGATCCAAATCCCAATTAGTTATGTGTAAAATTAGAAAAGTGGATTAGGAAAAACATAGTAAGTATGTGGTAAATGTGCAGTGTATATGTGAAGACTGTATTTGTATGCTTTGTGTCCCTCAGATGCTCCAGTGGCTGAACTTCATGACTTGTTCTGCAAGAAGCTGCAGCAGTGTTGTGTGCTGTTTGACTTTCTGGACTGTGTGGCCGACTTGAAGGGGAAAGAGATCAAACGCGCCGCGCTGAACGAGCTTGTGGAGAGTGTGGCCACCAGTCGCGGAGTCCTCATCGAGCCCCTGTACCCAGAGGCCATTAAGATGGTGAGATGAATCGTCAAAGAGAGGAAAAGTGATGCAGTAGGCTGGGATTTGATAAAAGAGCAGAGAAAGCAGAGGGAGATAAATCGTTTTGAGGGAGGCACAAGATCTCCAGTGCTCTAAAGTGCACTTAAAGACTCCGAAGCATTTATGTGTAGCTACATTAGTACTATACAGCATGTAGTTGAAATACAAAAACACCTTAATTGGGAAGCAATTGATTTTTGTTAACTGGGCCTTTTATGTTTTGATGAGAATGGCAAAGGGGGATTTTTCTAAGAATGAGTGCGTGCCCTCTGAGTTTATTTGCATATGCAGTCTGCATTGTGTTTGATTAAGTCTCTTGTTTACTAGAGGAATTATGCAAATGAGGTAACAATAAATTACAGTTGCTCTGATCAATAGAAGATGTATACAAACATACTCTCAGAATGAAATTCCCTTTACTAACATTCGGTTAATGGAAATCATACAGCTGTCAGGCGGAAGAGGCAGACTTCTTAGGAAGCTTGTGTTTTTACAAAAGCATTTGATTAAAGGTATAGTTTAACTCAAAATGACTGCCATCATTTATTCACTCTCAGATTATTACAAAACTGTATTACTTTATTTGTTCAGAAAACAGAATCAAGGGTTATGCAGCTTGAAATAATATAGCAGAATGCTTTTTGGTTTTTCATACAGTTCCATGAAGAACAATGTTTGGACTATAACAGTGTAATGAACTTCATGATAATAGTTCATCTTCATTCACGTTTTTATAATTGAGTGTATATTTTAATAATAGTAGTCTTGTTGACATTATATTTTATATAATTAATTAATATTTTTCCCTGTTCTGATTAAAAAAACATGCAAAGCACACAAAAATAGCCAAACAGACTGTAGGATAAGATACAATGTGATATTATATGTGAACACTTTACAATTCCTAAAAGATAAAGGGATATAAAGTCAGGAGGTGGTGTTTATTGTTTTTGTGGTTTAGTTTTTTTTGTATAAACCCAAATATCTTTTTAAAAAGTGTTAATTCAGTTTATTTTGAGGGTCCACTTGAGTATTAGTAGACTGTCTGCTTAATATCTGTTGATACTGCTCCTTCAACAGACTTTGCAAGTACATGTCCTAACCCCAACCTAACAGTATACTAATTAATCTAATGAGAATTAGCTGAAATGTATATGCAATGTAACTAAATTCAACAAACGGACCATCAAAATAGAGTGTGACCATCCTACTTACCCGGTGCAGATCAGGTTTCTTCAACTGAACAGAGTTGGTGCTCTATTGAAGTAAAAAAGGAAAATATATGATTGGAGAAGCTACACAAGTTAAAATTTGGGTAACACTTTACAATAAGGTTTATTAGTTAATGCATTTACTAACATGAACTAATCATGAACAACGCATGTACAGCATTTATTACTCATAATTGAACATTTACTAATGCATTATTAACATCCAAGTCCATGCTTGTTACCATTAGTTAACGCACCATAAGTTAACATGAACTAACAATGAACTACTGTATTTTCATTAACTAACGTTAACAGACATGAACAAATACAGTAGTAAATGTATTGTTCATTGTTTGTTCATGTTAGTAAATGCATTAATTAACATTAACTAATGAACCTTATTGTAAAGTGTGACCAAAATTTGAAAGTTAAAATGTATAAATGATTCAAGAAAGAAATCATTCAACTATTGAGAGAATGTTGACAGTCTGTGTAGTAAATGGTTGACTAATGAGGTGCTTTAACAGTTAGAGATTTAGAAAACAAAAAGGCGGAAACTGCACAGTTTTGTTCCAACCCTAATCAAACACATTTGATCCAACTAATCAAGGGGTTCAAGACTAGTGTTTATGGCTGTGTCTAAAATCGCCTACTTTTTAGTAGGTACTGCATTTGAATTTGAATTTACTACTTACAAACTTGTTCCTGGAGGTGCGGTGTCCTGCAGATTTTAGCTCCAAGCCTAATCAAACACACCTAAACAAGCTAATCAAGGTCTTACTAGATATAATTGAAACACCCAGGCAGGTTTGTGGAGGCAAGTTGGAGCTAAACTCTGCAGGGCACTGGACTTCCAGGAACGAGATTAGTAACCCCTCTTCTATACAGTATGAATGTGAGCAGTATGAATGAAACTCGGACATACTACATCCGCAATTTTGTCATGATTACGTGACCTACCCACGCCAGTTGCGTCACTTCACTCCCATGTATGAATTCTCCCACAGTGAATCATGGGATAGCGTAGCATCCATTAAATGTGCACTCTGGGCCGGCGCGTCCATAGAGGCGACATAGGCTGCCGCCATCCGCTACCCCCCTCCCCGTTCTTCATTTTCGGGTTGAGGGCGGCATAATCATCCTTTGCCTACAATCAAGTTCAGCCTGCTCTGGCCCTGTGTGCACTTCAAAATATCCCCTGTAGTAGTAGGTCATCTGGGTACTTCTCGCATACTGCTTTTTAAATTCTTTAAATTTGGATATACTGCTTGGCTCGCATACTCCTTTTAGCGTATTATATAGTATGGTAGTATGCAATTTTAGATGCAGCACTATAGTCTTGAACACCTTCATTAGTTAAATCAGCCGTGTTTGATTAGAGTTGGCGCAAAACTGTGCAGAGCAGCGGCCCTCCAGGATGTTTAAGATGTATAAGTAGTGTGTTCACAGTGAAAAGTGCACCTTAAATACCTGGTTAATGTACTTATTCAACTGAAAAAAAAGAGACGTCGAACATTTCATTCACTCAACTGTCACAACTTTGCTCATGTAGCTGAAGAGAAGAAGCTAGCGGCTACAGAGGTTGGATAATTTTCTTTTATTTTGGAATATGCAAGCAAAATTCTCAAACGCAGAATCATGATGGTAAATCCTGTTGTACTCAAGACAGGTAGTATTTGTTAGTTTGGTGATTTATTTCATTAATTTAGCAACTGTTAAATGCATTCCAGGAAACTGAATTTCCAGCTTGTAAAATAAAAAAGTCTGGTAGGACATTAAGCACAAACACTACACAGTTGAGTGTATAAGTGCATAGTTTAAAATTGTATAGTGCAGAGTGTGTCATGTGAGATGCAATGTATGTTTAACAAACTTAAGAATGACCAATGCATGGAACATAAAAAAGATTCATGTTTCTAAAGATTCCATATGAAAAGTCAATGAAACTCATTAGGGTTCCTAAATGATGTCATTTTTGGACAAATTTTAAACTTAACACACAGCACAATTATTTTTGTTTTTTATTAATTTTTTAAAATAAAATGTTGTTTTTTTGCACCAAAAAATTTAAATGTCATGTTTTAGTGTAGTACCAGGAGGCTTCAAGGACTTTGTACTGATTATGTTTTGTATTGATATATGACGTACCATTTAATAATGTCAGAGAAACTGAATAGGAGACTAGACAAAGAGTTTTTAACTCTGGCCCTTGAGTTCTACTTTAATGCCAAATTTAGTTCCAACCCTAATCAAATACACTTGAAGAAACTAATGGAGGACTTCTGGATTGCTTGAAATTTACAGAGAGACAGGTTTGGTCAAAATTAGACAAAAATTTAGCAGTAAAGTGGTCCTCGAGGGCCAGAGTTAAGAGCATGAGCAGGAGCTTTTATTGATTTATTTTTCTACTTGAACTCTTTTAATGTCATTAATAGTGAAGCAATGGTCTTTAGTCCATGATTCTGTAAAACACAACCTTTCAGCCCCTCCGTCTCTCTCTTTCTTTCTCTCTCCATCTTGTAGATCTCAGTGAACATTTTTCGAACTCTCCCACCCAGTGAGAACCCAGAGTTTGACCCAGAGGAGGATGAACCCGCTCTCGAAGCCTCCTGGCCACATTTACAGGTACATCAAAGACACAAACACACGCTAACACATATACTGACACCACAAGGCGAGAAAGCAGTATGAGTTTTTTTATAGCTCGTGTCCCAGCACCAATCTCATTTCCGCTCTCTTTCTCTGCTTTTCTCTTCTAGTTGGTCTATGAGTTCTTTTTACGCTTTCTTGAGAGTCCAGATTTCCAGCCTTCTCTTGCCAAGCGCTACGTGGACCAGAAATTTGTTCTACAGGTATATTTATATGTAACGTTTTACATTATCCCTTGTGATATTTGTGTATATAATTATTTCCCAAAATAAAAACCTTTAATGAAAGGGTTTTGAATAATAACAAATTATATAGAGTTATTTCTAACTATAATGTTTGTATGTGTATTTAGGGCATTCTGTGTAGAAAATATTAGTTTATAGACTCCCTAAATACTTATTTTGGACTGTCTCCTGAATCACATCATGGTCAAATTGCAAGATTTGCAATATGAAAATACTGTGTAACCACTAAAAAGGCAAAAATCTCCATGTTGGACTCAGTATTCAGGCTCCTATTAATGTTGATCTTGATAATAATCTTTATTTGCAGTCTATTAAGCCTTCTCACACCAATTATGAACATACCATTCAAGTGTTAAGACATATGATAAGTGCTTTAAATAAAGTTGCAAAAGGCTGACTGTGTGTGCATGTGTAGCTGCTGGAGTTATTTGACAGTGAGGACCCGAGAGAGAGGGAATATCTGAAGACGATCCTTCACCGTGTCTATGGCAAACTCCTGGGCCTCAGGGCCTACATCCGCAAACAAATCAACAACATCTTCCTCAGGTCAGACACAAAAACATGAGCACTGTTGATATTACACCGCTCTTTGTTAGCTGTTCTTAAAATGTCCTTATGATTGTTTTTCACCTCTGCAGGTTCATCTATGAAACTGAGCGTTTCAATGGAGTTGCGGAACTTCTGGAAATTTTGGGAAGGTAGATATTCTTATATACTTTTGGTCTGTCATAACAGAAAGGCTTAGTTTGTATGAAAAACCTTATCAGGCGATGTTAAAATAAAGTGGTCTCCAATAACATGAACACCCTTGGTAAATATAAGCAAAAAGTGTTTTTATATAATATAATATTATAAAATATATAAAAAATATATTATAAATATATTATAAATATATATAATATAAAAAGTCAATGGGAATATACTATAACAAATATGTTGCTCATATGCATTCCTAGTGGTGCCAATAGTTGTTGCACACATATATTTAACAAAGCAAATATTTTTTGTTAATATTTGAGCAAATGGTTAAGCAAAAAAAAATAAATAAATAAACATTTTTACCAATACAGGCTCATTGGAAATATGTGCTTCAGCCCACATTTTGATGAAGCAACAAGAACATACTTTAGCATATGTTTGACTGCAGTTTGTTTAAATAGTGAAACCTATGGGGTAAGGTGCTGACAACTTTTTGTTCCTTTCACACTATTTGTTAGATATTTACATAGACATTTTAAGCAGGGCACATTCATATAGCACATTTCATAACTATTGGTAATACATAAACAAGAATAAAAGAAACAAGCATAATAAGTAAAAACAAGGAAGATTAAAAATCTATGAAACAGATTAAAATATGTTTTAGACAGGTTATAAAAGAAATGAAAAAAAAAAGACATAATAGTGCTTGTTGATGATTAAATGGTTATTTTTTTGTGCAACACCAAAAAAATACCAAAAATTACTACGATGTCCAAGATTTGTAACCAAATATGTGTGCCTCACCTATCTATCTCCAAACCTACAACATTTCTGGTGTGGTCAAATTGTGCATTAGCTTACTTTATATGTTCGAAAGCCATTAAAGCACAGTTCCCCAAAAGAGATAGAAGCAATTTAAAATCAAGGTAAATCTACATGTTGCAGAACACTTTTTGTCTTACGTTCGCTTTAGAAAATACTATTAGTTTGGTTTACGCAAAGTGTTTAATTCAGTCACTGGTCTAGGTCTGTGGTTCCCAAAGTGGGGGTCGGGGGGACAATGAGAGGGGTTTGCTTGGTGATTTCCAAAAATCTAATTTACGGTATTAAACTGTTAGAATTACCATATTTTATCCATAACCCACAGAAGAACAAAATAGTAGTTAATAGTTACATTAAAATATCAGCCATCAGCCTTTAGATTTCTTTGTGACCCTTGGGTTAATTACACTATATTAACGACACAGCACATTGATTTTATGGTACCAGGTTAAATTTTCTGACACCTTTACGGTACTCACATACATAACAAATAAATGCAGACCACAACTGAGCATGGAAGATGGTTTCCGAGTGGCGTTTTTCAAAATTTAATGATGAATAGACTTGGGCTTATTGGTATATATGTGCTGTTGTGTTCAAGGTTTATATATTTATAACCACATCAGACGATATAGGGGGTCACGAGTCACTGGCATTGTAATTTTGGGGTTCGTGGGCTGAAAAGTTCGGGAACCCCTGGTCTAGGTGACCTGTATGACAAGCACCACCTTTTCGTGGAAGTTTGATTTTACCTGAAATGTACAAAAATGAACCGTAAGTAATGTATTTTAGATTCACTAAAATGTGCACTGCGCCCTCTAGTGGATTTTTCATCTAACACGTGCAAGGAAATATACCTGGTGCAACACATTTGAAATTATGCAAAAATATAGGCTGAAGCACATATTTCCGATGAGGCTGTGATGTTTTCTGCAGCCTTGCTTGCTCATATTTACCAAGGGTGTCAATGTCAGTGAAGGCCACTGTCATGTAGTTAAACCAATGCGAATAAGAAGATTATAAGGTAGATCCTTGTAGTTTATACATTGTTTCCACAGTTAGGAGGTGCATATAATATCTTATGACATTTGTACTGTAATTTCCAATGAGTAAATTATAGTGTTCCATAACTTAATGCAGCAGTAGATTGCTGGAGAGATGCTTTATGGTGTGTGAGCTGGTGATTCAAACCTCCGGCACGAGCGCTGCATGTACCTGCTGTGCCGCAGTCGTGTTTCCCATCTTTAGCATGTCCAGCCATACACTTCACAGCCATGTTCTCAGAGAAACTAGTGCTGCTTTGCATATTGGGTTCAATGCACACAAAATGGTGCCTGTTTCGGGATGTGTTTAATAGCATAAACAAAGCAAACCTTTGACAGAGAGAAGCAGGGGAAGAGAGAGACAACCAGGGGGAGGCATGAGTCACAGTGTTGGGGATGGAGGTCTAAATTCAGGTTGATGCCAGTAGTATTTATAGTGCCGCCCACCCACACATCCCTCTGATCACTACTGAAGAGAGAATGAGGGAGACAGAGAGAGAGAGGGAGAGAGAGAGAGATAGATAGAGCAAGAAAGAATGGTTCTTGTGTAGAAAAATATAGCTATGACTATAATACTGTAATAAATTTTTAAATATTATATGTATTTGTAACTTTTTTGACTTTTTGTAATTTATAAAAAATAATCATTTGATATTATAGTTAATATACAAACATTTATTAAACAAACATTTAGAATATTTATACATTTATACAAAATATACAAATACTAAATGTAAAAAAATTCCAAATACAGCTTTTTATTTACATATAAAATATATTTATAAAATACTTTAATATTTGATATTCCTCTACAAATAATAATAAAAAGGATTAATCTCACTGACAGCTGACAGCGTATTTCTCTACTTTATCAGGGGTCACCAAAGTGAATTAAACCACCTAATAATTATGATGATGATAATTATTATTATTCTAATGGAAAATTGACATATATTTATAAAAGATTAGCAAAATGCTCAATAAAAAGATAGAATGAGGAAGACTGCAGCAGATAGACAGTAAAGGATGAAGAGGGAGAGAGAGAGGGAGTGAATGTGAATTTGAGTGACTAAAATAGGAGAGAAAAAGACAGGTGTGAGGTAGATGGAAGAATAAATGTGAGGGATTCAGAGAAAGACAGTATAGCTGAAGTGAATTTTATTTTACAGGAACTGGTTGATTAGAACTAGGAAGATGAAACTAAAGAAATGTTAGGAAGAGAGGAGGAAACAGTCAGAAGGAGAGGAAGGATGAGGGGGGTTCGCATGGGATTAGCTGATGAACAATAATGTGGAGAATGAGTGTACAGAGCATCATCACAACCACTGATACTAATCCTGTTTATTCTCCCTTTTCTCTTTTCCGCCTCCAACTCACTCCTGCCCCCTGTTTTTCTCTTCTCTGTTCTCCACTTGTCTCCTCTGAACTCCTCTCATGTCTTCTCTCCTCTTTTTTTCTTTTCTTTTTTCTCTTCTCCTCTCATCTAACCTGTACTGCTCTCCTCATCTCTTTGTTCTCCTCTATTCTCCTGTTCTCCTCTCACCTCTCCTGTAATCTCATCTCTACTCATCTCTTTTCTGTTCTCCTCTAATCTTGTCTCCTTTTTTCTCCTCTTTTTTTGTTCTCCTCTTCTCTATTCTACTCTGTTTTTCTCTTATCTCCTCTCCCCTCTCCTATATTCTCATTTCGTCTCTACTCATCTCTCCTCTATTCTCCTCTCTTCTGTTCTCCACTATTCTTCTCTCCTATGTTCTCCTCTGTTCTCCTCTCCTCTATTCTCTTCTCCTCTTCTTTTCTCCTCTCCTCTGTTCTCCTCTTTTCTTGTCTTCTCTTTTCTTCTCTATTCTCCGCTCCTCTGTTCTCCTATTTTCTTTCTCTACTCTGTTCTCTTCTTGTCTTCCTCTCCTCTGTTCTCTTCTTTTCTCCTCTCCTCTATTCTCACCTTTCCTCATCTCTCACCTATTCTCTTCTGTTCTCCTTTATCCTCCTGCCTTTCTCATCTCCTCTGTTCTCTTCTCCCCTATCTCCTCTCCTCTGTTATCCTCTATTCTCCTCTCCTCTGTTCTCTTTTCTCCTCTCCTATGTTCTCATCTATTCTCCTCTCACCTCCTCTTGTCTCCTCTCCTCTGTTCTCCTCTCCTCTATTCTCCTCTCCTCTGTTCTCCTCTATTCTCCTCTCACCTCCTCTATTCTCCTCTCCTATGTTCTCCTCTGTTCTCCTCTCCTCTATTCTCTTCTCCTCTTCTTTTCTCCTCTCCTCTGTTCTCCTCTTTTCTTGTCTTCTCTTTTCTTCTCTATTCTCCGCTCCTCTGTTCTCCTATTTTCTTTCTCTACTCTGTTCTCTTCTTGTCTTCCTCTCCTCTGTTCTCTTCTTTTCTCCTCTCCTCTATTCTCACCTTTCCTCATCTCTCACCTATTCTCTTCTGTTCTCCTTTATCCTCCTGCCTTTCTCATCTCCTCTGTTCTCTTCTCCCCTATCTCCTCTCCTCTGTTATCCTCTATTCTCCTCTCCTCTGTTCTCTTTTCTCCTCTCCTATGTTCTCATCTATTCTCCTCTCACCTCCTCTTGTCTCCTCTCCTCTGTTCTCCTCTCCTCTATTCTCCTCTCCTCTGTTCTCCTCTATTCTCCTCTCACCTCCTCTATTCTCCTCTCCTCTGTTCTCCTCTATTCTCCTCTCACCTCCTCTATTCTCCTCTCCTCTGTTCTCTTCTTTTCTCCTCTCCTCTATTCTCCTCTCACCTCTCCTCATCTCTCGTCTATTCTGTTTTTCTCTTTTCTCTTCTCCTCTGTTCTCTTCTATCCTCCTCTATTCTCGTCTCCTCTGTTCTCTTCTCCTCTGTACTCCTCTATTTCCTGTCCTCTGTTCTCCTCTATCGTCCTCTATTTTTCTCTCCCCTATCCTCTTCTATTCTCATCTCCTCTATTCTCTTCTGCACTGTTCTCCTCTATTCTCCTTTCCTCTGTCCTCCTCTGTTCACGTGTCCTCTGTTTTCCTCCCCTCTGTTCTCCTATTTTTTTCTCTCCTCTATTTTCCTCTATCCTCCTATTCTCGTCTCCTGTGTTCTCCTCTATTCTCCTCTCCTCTCCTCTGTTCTCTTATTTTCTCCTTTCATCTGTTCTTCTTTCCTCTGTTCTCCTCTATTCTCCTCTGTTCTCTTCTTTTCTCCTCTCCTCTATTCTCCTCTCACCTCTTTTCATCTCTCGGCTATTCTCCTCTATTTTCACCCTTTTTTCTATTCTTCTCTCACTTTTCCTCATCTCTTGGCTATTCTCCTCTTTTCTCCTCTCCTCTGTTCTCCTCTCCTCTATTCTCTTCTCCTCTGTTCTCTTATTTTCTCCTCTCATCTCTTGGCTATTCTCATCTTTTCTCCTCTCCTCTGTTCTCCTCTCCTCTATTCTCTTCTCCTCTGTTCTCTTATTTTCTCCTCTCATCTGTTCTTCTTTCCTCTGTTCTCCTCTATTCTCCTCTGTTCTCTTCTTTTCTCCTCTCCTCTATTCTCCTCTCACCTCTTTTCATCTCTCGGCTATTCTCCTCTATTTTTCACCCTTTTTTCTATTCTTCTCTCACTTTTCCTCATCTCTTGGCTATTCTACTCTTTTCTCCTCTCCTCTGTTCTCCTCTCCTCTATTCTCTTCTCCTCTGTTCTCCTCTTTTCTCCTCTCCTCTGTTCTCCTCTTTTCTCCTCTTCTCTGTTCTCCTCTCCTCTATTCTCTTCTCCTCTGTCCTCCTCTTTTCTCCTCTCCTCTATTCTCCTCTCCTCTGTTCTCCTCTTTTCTCCTCTATTCTCCTCTCCTCTGATCTCCTCTATGCTCCTCTGTTCACCTCTCCCCTCCCCTCTCCTCTCCTGTCCTCTGTTCTCCTCTCCTCTTTCTCCAGTATCATAAACGGCTTTGCTCTGCCTCTGAAATCAGAGCACAAGCAGTTCCTGGTGAGGGTCCTGATCCCCCTGCACACTGCCAAGTCTCTCTCCATTTTTCATGCGCAGGTTAGAGTCGGATGCCCAGACACTCACATTCACATCCCATGCTGTTCATTAATGGACTGTAATATGATGTCGTGCCACAAGGGGACGCCAAATACTAGAGCTAAATCCTATGGCCTCAGAAAGTGCACAAATGGACATTTATAGGGATTGTTCACAGAATTGTTCTATCTATCTATCTATCTATCTATCTATCTATCTATCTATCTATCTATCTATCTATCTATCTAACTATCTGTCTGTCTGTCTGTCTGTCTGTCTGTCTGTCGGTCGGTCGGTCGGTCGGTCGGTCGGTCGGTCGGTCTGTCTATCTCTCTATCTTAATCACTATTATTATTGATAAATAATTTCTATATTTTATCTGTAATAACACTAGTATATTTAGGTTGTCAAGAGTTTTTTTGTGGAAATTTGGGGTTGCTGTTTCATTTCTAAACTGATCTTGCAATTATGTGTCAATATCTGTGTGTGTCTGTAGAATGATCACACATACTCTGTTCAAAGGTTTGGGGTTAGTAAGAAATTTATAGATAAATTAATAAGAAGACACATAAAATAGATGAGTTTTGCCTTAGTAATTTAAAATAGTACATTTTAAATTAATAGTTTTCCTTTCAACTTTCTATAGTAAAGCATAGTGTATTATAGTTTATTGTAATGTATAGAGATAGGGTTATTATTGTTAATAATAAAAAAACTAATAAAAAAGTTATTTTAAAAACTAAAAACACACTAAAATTGTGGAAAAAAAATAAAAACGGAAAGTATGTTAATGAAATAATATTACAGTTTTTGTCAATTGCTTTGACACGTTTGTCAAAACAGTCTTAACATTCTCTAAACTGAGTGCAAATCTCAAAATGGTTTGCTGGAACTTCAGAAATTGTATTGTATTTCTTCATTCATGCTTCGAAACCTAGTTATCATGTCATAAATTTGGCCAAGATCACCAAATCATAAAGTGTATTTGTCGTCATGTGAGCCACACTGCTCACAATGATTAGTTGTTTTTTCACCATGACACTCAACCATGGAAATTAAGGTAAAAAGAATCTGATATTTGTTGAAGAGTCAGTAGTACATAGAAAAAAATCTGTAAAAAAAACATCTGTATTTATACAGTACTTTTATTTTTGAACAAATGTATTACATGTAGAGTGCAATCTTGCTTATCCAATTACTGAATTGCATATTTCATAATCCTTATGTTACCACAAACACACACACACACACACACACACACACACACACACACACACACACACACACACACACACACAAATATCATCCATGAAAAAAGTTATTCTTGGTGTACATCCTGTCTCTCTTGTTGGTCATGCCAGAGATTTCACTTCTTCCATTTGTATTGCAAATTGAGGTGATTAACCAATTTAGCAGACATAACAAACAATGTAAGTATGAGATATTTATGGTGTAAATGTGTGTAAATAAATATTTAATCATTGAATAAACAGTTTTGAGTGAAATGGCTTACATGATGAAAAATGATTGAGAAGTTAAAAAGATTTTGAGATTTTAGATGAGAATCGACGCATCAGTTTTGATCAACAAGCCATATGCAAATATTTTTTTGTCCAAACTACAGACAATTGGACTTACTGTTTGCAGACATGCGCCAAAGCATCTGCAATTTGCTTAAATCAATAAGAAATGTCACTCTGAAGTGAACAATAAGCTAATTGTTCAGATATCTGCACTTATTGTTTTGAAAAATAAACATTTCAATCGAGAATTGAGCCAAAGCAATTGAGAAAAACAGTACAATGTTAGTAAAACCACAGAAACATCACATGATCCATCAGAATAATCTTTTCTGAAGAGTCAGTCTACACTGAAGACTAATAAAATTCTAATGATTAAGTTTAAATACATTTTTTTGAACATTTAATTGAAATAAACACAGCTTTGGAAAGCATCAAAATTTTACTGACCCCAAACCCTATTGTATATTAATACCTTCAACAGATTCCGAAGATTATTCCTTAATATTTCTGTCATGTTACACCCGAAAAGTGCTTGTTACATTAGCAGCGCCTGTATGTCAATAAGTGTGCGTGTATGTGTATATGTGAAAGTGCTTGTCCTACATTCCTACACTCGTCTTTTCCCTTGTCAATATCACTCCATCCATAATTCAGAGCCCACACTCCGGGCTGTTTATACTTTCTTCTCGCCACAAGGGCATAAAGTGCTCTCCCAGGGAATGCCTTCGGGTGGCCAGACTTTTTTCATGTCTCTTCCATAGAAACAGAAGCACAGTTTGGCCAAATCCTCAATCACACTTCCCTCAAGGCTCCTGTAAAATATCAAGTGTTTCTCAGCTAGATGAAAGGCTAAACACTGAATGCTATTTTTGTAAATGCTTTTGTTACCAGTATTAAGCGTGCATTTCAGTGATTCTTTTGACCTCCGTTTAACATTTGGCGGTTGTGATTTGGTTACTATTTTATTTGTTTGCATAGGAACTAATGGCGAGCGATTGAGTTAAGTCTGGTGGATTTATATGGGATGATTGGAGCTTAGTTGGCATTGAGCTTAAAACTACTGAGTGACACCAGGGGATTGAACGTCACTGAGGTGTCTCTTGGGTATGGGATTCTTATCGTGTGCCAAGTCTAAACATATCAAAGCATTATAAAGTGTTGAGAGTTAATCAGAGTTCTTTTTACTTTAGACAGTAATTTACCATTCAGGGATGGCTTTCAGGTAGACAAACTACAAACGTAAGCCTTTTTCTGGCTTAAGGCCTGTTTGCAGCTACTGCATTTGGGTCCACACCGATGCACAATATTGTTTTGGTACTGTAATTGTAAACAAACATTGCATCTTTGTCTATTGTCACTTTGAATGCTACAGCTCTTCTGATTGGATGTCAATGTTTTGTCCATTATGCTTGACTTGTCTACTGTTGGTTGCTGGGGTACCAATACTACAGTCAGCTCCTCTAACAGCTTGATGGAAGCGCACATAATTCGCGTTTAGGATTTTTTCAGTTTTTTTGTGAAGATTCGCTTTATGTTTGGATGAAAACCCAGCTATTCTCTCTGTTGTTAGTATTATACTTATTTTATTATTACTATTTATTATTTATATTATTACTGTTAGTGTGACAAGTGATACTAAATATTTTTGTTGCTGACTTAATCCTGTATTGGTGTCTGTCTCTAGCATTTACTATCCTCGAATTGGTGAGATGAAGCAGTGATGAAACATTTTTCCCAGCAAACAATTTTGTGTTTAATAGACATCTAATACACATCTAAATGTAGACAGCTTGGCTAAAACAAGGCTCAACTAGTGACAATCTAAAAGACATCTAAGTATAGCCTAATACTAGACTAGTCATCAAATAAACAGATTAGACAGACTTTATATGTGTAGTCATTCATTTCTGTTTATTTGATGACTAGTCTAGTTTAGGCCTATTCTTAGACGTCTATTAGATTTTCACTGTCAGCCCAAATTTAGTCTTGTGTTAGCCAAGACGAATATGTTTAGACGATTATTAGACATCTATTAGACATCTTTTAAAAACAAAAAATGCTTGCTGGGTTGTTTTTCTTCTTTGTATGGAACTTATCATTGCCAACACAGCAAGAAAATAGACAATATTGTTTCTACAATCAACTTAAATGTTGATGTTATTTTAAAATGAGCTTTAGATGTGCATTAAACTTTTCAGTTTTAGAAAGTTCTAATGGTGGAATTGTTAGAATATCTAATCAAGTCTATGCATGTTCAGTAAAAAGGTCAGGAGAAGGGTTTTCTTCAATGTCAAAAATATTAGTAATTTATTGAATTCAAATGAATAATTTGATTCACAGAATTCTGGTATCCTCAATGCAATGCAAGAATTACATTCAGGAGGTGCACAACAAATTGCATCTACTGACTCCAGCTTTTATAAACAGCTGATATTAGCATGTGGAGTTTAGTGGAATTCGTCACTTGTCACTCATTCTCCAGTTCTCCATTGGCCGCACCCATACATACTTCCTCTTTTTCTATGAATTCTTTGCACAACATTACCAGCATAAGCCTTTCTCAACTGCAAATATTCTGTGTTGTTAGTTTTATCCCATGTCTACTCACAGTAAGTTAATCTGCAAAGCTCAAGATAATTTTAGACAATCAGGCCTTTGCATTTCAATCAGCTTCATCTACTTCTGCAAAAATGCTTCATTAGTATGCATGGCATATCACACTAAAGAGAAGAAGTTTGGTTAATATTTCACCTTAGGCAAAACAAATACAATTGTTTAATGAAAAGAAAATGAGACAAAAATACTTCAAAATATGTTCTGTTTTCCAACACTATTATCTATTAGCATTTTGAACAGCTTGAAAAATGATTAGGCTGTGTGCAACGCATTCTAATATTTAGTTTTTATTGGTCAGTAAAGTTTCATACATAAAGTATTAGATCTGCATAAGTATTACATAATGCACAATAGTATTCATTTACAGTAGAGTATGGATTTACAGTTCGAATGCTTTATATATAAAGCATCCTGTGTGTGTGTATGTATAAGTTAGAAAGCAGGATGCTATCCCCTCTCAAATCCAGTTTGCTTTTGTCAACATTTTTGGACCCATGGGCTATTTAAAAAACAAAAGTTAAATAAGATTATAATACTATTTACAAAACTGTGATATTTAAAGTGAAAAAAGTTACAATGTGAGATATAAACTAGCCAGCATGAGGTATTGACCGTATTCTTTTTTGTATTCGTTTTCTATTCCATTTATTTTTCTTGCCATGGCCTTATTAGCTGGAGACGGTTTTATTTACTTCCATTGATTTTTAGCAGTAAAAAACAGTTTGTTGTGCTGCTTGATGTTTAACACTAGTATTTTTCATTATTAAATTTAGACTTTTATTTGTAGTCATTAACACTCTTTTTTGCAGAGCAAGTAGTTTGACTGTTTATTGCTGTTTGTTACTCTCAGTCAATTTTTCACATAGGCAAATTAATTCTCAGTCCCGGACCAATCACAGAAAAGAGTGTCTGCATTTCCACATTGCACGCTATAAGTTGAATAAAATCCCAGTTGTGAAGAAATGAAGTTGCAATTCGCAGATAAACTCACAATTGTGATTACCAGCGTTGTACTTGCAAGATATAAAGTTAAAGTTGAGCAATAAAGTAATGCATTATAAAGTCAAAACAGACTTCTAAAACCTTCTACAAAGATTCTAACACACATGCACATAAACACACATGCACATTCCCTTGCAAGTTAAACATCAAGCTAAACCTTTTTTCTTAAGCACTACATACACTGAAAACTAAGAGCATAATTATGATGTTCTCTTAACAAAGCTCTCACCCCCTGGGGAAAGACAGAGGTTTAATGTGACATCAGCCCTTCCAAAGCAGAAACACACGCACACACAGACGCACTCGCACACCATCACCACCCTAACAGCTCACCAGGCAACAGTGCAGAAGTGCTTTTGTGAAAAAAAAGCAACACACATCTCCACACACACATTTGTGTTACGTCCCTTTGGAGAAAACATCCTTTTCACACTGTTTTGCGTGTGCTCTCTGAGGCTCAGGTGCTTTGTGCTGGTCTACTCATCAGGGGATATATTAATATGGAAGTAAATGCAGTGTGTGTGTGTGTGTGTGCAGACTGAGGATGGCATCATTAAGTTATAAAAACTATCAGTATTTCTTTTTTGAGATTGAGTTTAAAAAGTCAAATAAATTTGACTTTTTAATTGATTTTTATTGATGTATGATTCGTTATGATAGAAACATTTTTGGCCAAGATACAACTTTGAACATCTTTAATATGAAAAAAGCATACAAAGACATTTACCTAAGAAATTGTGCAAATTAAGTTCTTATTAATGCAAATTACTATTCAAAAATTGAGCTTTGATATATTTACACATGAAACGTAAAAAAATATCTTCATGGAACATGATCTACACTTAGTAGGGCTCAGAATACGTCATTGAGCATAAATATCGCAATGTGATCATTCGCAATAGTCCCATTGCAGTATATGCAATGTTGGGTTTGTATTACAATTTTTCACTTGCATGTGTTTTTAATTGTACAATTATTTGAAAAGCATTCAGGCATTAAAAAAATTGTGCAATTTGTGATTTGAACTATGATTAATTTTATTGAATTATTTTTATTTCTATTATTTAGTTACTGTACCCGAATACAGTTAGACTCGGAAAACGATAAACACTGTTAATTTCAATTGTATCTTTTTCTCTTGTATTTATAGATAGTTTATTAAATGTTATGGAGATGCAGAGTCATCCTAATCAATCTAACATTATAAACTGTTTCCAAATAATATTAAGTCACCTGATAAACTTGTATTCGTATCGCAATATTTATCGCTTGACAAAAAAATCTCACGATGTTAGATTTTTCCAATATCGTGCAGCCCTACTTAATAGTCTAAATACTTTTGGAATAAAAGACCCATACAGTGTATTATTGGCGATTGCTTGTGCAGTATAAGACCAGTATTGTGGACCAGGGCACACATGCATACTAAGATTTAAATCTACTGTATTTTATTTGTGTATATAGTGCTCAGCATAACTGAGTACACCCGATTTTGGAAAAGAATATTTTTGTCTATTTCTCAGTTTAGGCAATGCACTTTGGTGCATTTAAACAAAACAGATTAATTAAACAGATATATATATATATATATAAACTTGGAATAACTGGGAATAGAACACAGCCAGAAACTATGCTTCTAACTACATCTGCTACAGAGGTGTAGTTTCAAGGATACAGAATTGTGATGCAGTTTGTGAATGTTCGTTGGAACGACGGAGTTTTGGAAATGCCAAATCAACAAACTATATTTGTAACAATGGTACTTGCGATCTTAGTTGGTTTTCGGAAACGCACCCCAGATCTTTACTATGTACAACAAGTAATATTTCTTTTCCTTTTTTTTTACAATTATATTTAGGGGTTTTCACTTTTATTGTGATAGAACAGTGGTGATTTAAAAACAGGAAAGTATGGGGAGCAGAGATAGGGGAAGGGTCGGCAAAGGACCTTGAGCCGGGAATCAAACTTGGGTCGGCGTGAACACACTTTGTGCCATGTGTTGACGCACTAACCACAAGTAATATTTCTTAATATTTGTTTATTTTTTAAGAACTAAAAGCATAAAATACATTTAATAAATAAATGTAAAAAATTGCGCAATAATTAGCACATTTGCTGTATAAAATACATTTTCATTCATTTAAATAGTCATTTTCATTTGTTTTTATATGACATTTTGCAGTTAGTTAGTAGTCAAGGACTTTTATTTCTTCAGTTTTTTGCACCTAACCCAGGCTTTCTCACTTACACCCACATGATGTACCAAAAAGGCAGGCTCCGCCGCTGAGGTGTCTATGCGACGCTCTGATGAACAGGACGTGTGCTGTCAACACTGTGGCCTTTAACAAGAGTGACCGTCTCTTTTATAACTTGAGAAAATGATATGCCAATTAGGACAAATGTACTGTAATGTCTGCTAAGATATAAGTAACCAGCATATACTACAGACTTCCCACAAATATGCTACAGAATGGGTTTCATGTGAAGCTGTTTTTGAAATCATTCATTCATTCATTTATTTTCTTTTCGGCTAAGTTCTTTTATTAATCAGGGGTCACCACAGCAAAATGAACCGCCAAATTTTCCAGCATATGTTTTTATGCAGCGGATGCTCTTCCAGCCGCAATCCATCACCCATACACTCCCATTCACACACATACACTATGGACATTTTAGCTTACCCAATTTACCTACAGCAGGTCTTGTGTAGGAAACCAGAATTTTTAATATATATTTATATATTTAAAAACATACATTTATATGTACTTATGTATGAGTTATATAATCTTTGCATCAAATTACAAAAGAATTACTGGTGTGAGGCGTTTCAAATGCTGTTTCTATGGGGCGGGACAGTAAATGTTGCCATTATCAGTCTCATACATTTTTTTTTCTTTTTCTGAGAGTCTAGTCACACCATCCTGGAATTTTTTTTTCATTATTTCACGAAAAAGGATTGTAAAAAAATATTTGTTGTATTCTCCCATTCACTGTGTTCTAAATTTACCCAACTATGATGACTTTTGCTACTGAGAAACCTGGAAATGTGAAATGGGTCCATCGCTGATTAATGTTGCAAACTGGTATTTTCATATTATATTAGTTTTCATTGTTATTTATAGTCATAAATATACTTGTTTGTAGAATTTGAATTGAATCCAAGTAATTTCCCCCATTTGCAAATGAATCAGAAGTCCTAAAACAATCAAATTCCACATTTCAGAATAAAGTGCATAGTAATAGTAATTTTTATTTAGTATTTTGGGGCGAAGCAGTGGCACAGTAGGTAATGCTGTCGCCTCATAGCAAGAGGGTCGCTGGTTCGAGCCTCGGCTCAGTTGGCGTTTCTGTGTGGAGTTTGCATGTTCTCCCTGCGTTCGCGTGGGTTTCCTCCGGGTGCTCCGGGTTTCCCCCACAGTCCAAAGACATGCGGTACAGGTGAATTGGGTAGGCTAAATTGTCCGTACACATGTGTGTTTGAATGTGTGTGGATGGTTCCCAGAGATGGGTTACGGCTGGAAGAGCATCTGCTGCGTAAAAACTTGCTGGATAAATTGGCGGTTCATTCCGCTGTGGCGACCCCGGATTAATAAAAGGACTAAGCCGACAAGAAAATGAATGAATGAATTTAGTATTTTAAGAGTTTAATGCATTTGCATGTTAATAGGTCTCTGCAATGATAAACTAGTTGTAGTTATAGTACATTTTTAGTCAATTGTTCAATAATTTGCAGCTTCATATTCATTGTTCTCTTATAATAATAATAATAATAATATAAAGATTTTCATATGAAACTTTGCTTTTTAAATGCAGAAAACAATTTAAAAGCATTTGTTGACAGACATATATCAGCTACACCTACATTATTGCCTCTCCTGCTTGTATTGTTCAGTATAGAAATGTGGCATTGTGTTGACTGCTGGCAGACTGATGATAAGTCCATGTGGTGGCATTTAGGATCTTGATTAGAGGAACGCTTGATTTTTGTCAAGTGCTTCAGATCAAACCATGGAAAGCAGATAAAGGCTGTAATCTTAGGGCTGTGTGCATTATAATCAGTAGACAATCTCCCTAAAGCTTGGTTTACACACACACACACACACACACACACACACACACACACACACACACACACACACAAACAGACTTTAATCAGGAGCACCTGCAACTGAAATCAATAAGCTTTTAACGCGACACATACAGTGTGAAAGTGACTTTATTAGAAATCTTTTTGCTGCTCTTTTCATCAGCTGGCTTACTGTGTGGTGCAATTCATGGAGAAGGACGCCACAGTTACAGAACACGTAAGACTTATTTAATTTGTCATGGTATTTCATATAAATACCTAATATTGGTGCTGGTATGTAAATGTCACACCAAAAAGGATGATTTTCTTCTTCTTCTTTTTTGTGTTTCATTAGATTATCAGAGGGCTGCTGAGATATTGGCCTAAAACATGCACTCAGAAAGAGGTAAGAAAAGCTTTGTATATGTGTAGCTCTCAGATCGATTAATGTAGTTCACAACAAATAAAATCTTTTTTTTCAACTGAAATAAAATAAACAGTAACTTTTCATTTAATTACATTCAATTTCTAGCTAGTTGCCAAGGAAATATGTTTTCATTTAGTTTAAACAGATATGCTAAAAGAAATGAAAACTAAAATAGTTTAAACCCACAGACATATCGAAAATGACTCTCAAAATTATAGTAAAAATTCATATAAATGACAAAAACACACTACAATTCACTATATTACTAAATACAACAAAATTAAAATGAAACTAAATGTAAAGTAACTATATAATGACAAAATTATTAATGATAAAAAGCAGACAATTATAAGCTTAAACTGAACTTTTACTGAAGGAAAACAATCTCCAGAATATTAGAAGAAACATTCAAAAATAAATTCTAATTCTTCTAGAACAAATTCAAAGTATAAAAAAATAAAATATTTTACTGTCACTAGATAAATGATTCATGTATAAGTAGTAGATGTATAGTTAATATTTAAATCTACTAACAATGTGTTTGAATATTTGTGGGTTTCTGACATTAATTAAAAAAGTAAAAGTATTAGTAGTATTAGTACTACTGTTTCAAATGTCATCATCAAAATACAGAAATACGTTACTGTTGTAAATTATACTTGAACTGTGAAATAATGAAAAGTTTAATCATTTTAAAGATGAATCCCTCTAAAACACTGCGAGCTTGAAATTACAGTTATTTATTTAAAGCAATATTATAATTTAGCCTCATTGGCCTGCTTTAATTTTACATTCCATATAGCTGCTGAACCCTCGTTTTGGGAGACTCTTTCTCACAATATCTGAAAATTTAATTAGCATGAAATCACTTTCATGCTAAATCATTTTTTTTTAAGCAAAGACGTTTCATCCACAATAGGGCGTCAGAGACCTATAGTATAGAGTCAATAAGCCCTAAGAGAAAAACGGTGTGATTTCTACAGCTGATCAAATCATTATTAAACAGGCAAATGACTTTCTAAGTCGATCTCTCTCTTTTGTATGCTGTATTTATACCATGGTAATATTGTGATCGCAAACTTTCCTTTTGGATGCTATTATTCACTATTAATTTTTGCCTAGCACTAGAATTAAAACGTGTGAATGCAAACCAGGCTAACAATGCATTATAATGATTGGTTTATCAGGCTAATGTTTGGCATGTTAGCATTGGCTGACACATATGCTGAAGTTTAAGTTGTTTGTTAATAGTGGCCGATGAGTTTTGAAGTGAGCTGTGTTTGTCTGTAAGTATCTGCTAGCATATTCTAATGGTGTGACATGAGCACAGGTGATGTTCCTGGGAGAGATCGAGGAGATTCTGGACGTGATTGAACCCTCTCAGTTTATCCGTGTGCAGGAGCCTCTCTTCAAACAGATCGCAGCCTGCATCTCCAGCCCTCATTTCCAGGTCTGCTTCCTCATTCACATTCATTCTTCTTTTTATTAGAATAATGATCAACAGAATTAAATGAATAGACAACCTTAACAAAATAATAAGTTATTGACTTGAGGTTCAATTATTTACCAAGTGATGATTAACATTTTTAAAGTGTTTCCTTGAATATTTTTTCTTCTGGAAAAAAAGTCTTTTTATTTGTTGCTGGATTAAAATTTTACTTAAATAATATACACTTGAAGTCAGAATTATTAGCCCCCCTGAATTATTAGACCCTTTTGTTTATTTTTTGCCCCAATTTCTGTTTAACAGAGAGAAGATTTTTTTAACACATTTCTAAACATAATAATTTTAATAACTCATTTCTAATAACTGATTTATTTTATCTTTGCCATGATGTCAGTAAACAATATTTGACTAGATATTTTTCAAGAAACTTCTATACAGCTTAAAGTTACATTTAAAGGCTTAACTATGTGAATTAGGTTAACTAGGCAGGTTAGGGTAATTAGGCAAGTTATTGTATAACAGTGGTTTGTTCTGTAGATTATTGAGAATAAAATATAGCTTAAAGGGGCTAATAATTTTGTCCCCAAAATGGTGTTTAAAAAATGTAAAACTGCTTTTATTCTAGCCTAAATAAAACAAACTTTATTCAGAGGAAAAAAAATATTATCAGACACACTGTAAAATTTTACTTGCTCTGTTAAACATCGTTTGGGAAATTAAAAAAAAAAGAAGAACAAAATTTGAAGGAAGCTAATAATTCTGACTTCAACTGTATATATATTTTATTTTTATTAGGTTCATCTTTGGTCAGACAATAAAATATACATAATGTTGCTAAATATAGATAAACGCACTAATACAATTCACCAAACAAGAAATTATGAGGAAAATATAATTATACGCTAAATAAGTATATAAATAATTGGTAAAATACCACATACATACACAAATACATACAAACATAAGATAACATAAAATAAGAATAATTAAAAACAAACAAAAGAATAAAAAAAGTAAATAAGAATAAATAAATAAATATATAAAAAATGTAAATTAAAAAAAAAATGTAAATGAATAAATTATACATAGTAATGCAATAGAAAAAAGGCAATTAAGATCTAGGTTTCTCCTTAAAAAGTTTAGAAAAGTGCTCCTGACTTTCTGGAACTGTTCTGGCTTTTGTTTTATTGCGAACCAAATTTTTTTCCATTTAAAGAGCATGTAAGAAATTAAAAACCCACTGCCGATAAGAAGGGGGAGCTGCTGACTTCCAATTCATATGAATAGCCAAAGTCGTCTAGCCAGTCAGGTTGCAAAGACTACACTATCAGCCTGAAATGAATTTAGTTCAACATATTCTGGCAGGATTCCTAAGAGTGCTGTTAAGGGGTTTGGGTCTCTTGATGGTGAAAAACCATTAGAAAAACACCTGAAGACTTTCCTTCAAAAATCAGACAGTTTCAAACAAGACCAGAAAGTATGTTACAGTGTGGCTGGTTCAGTTGTACAGTGAGGGCAAGTTGGGTCAAGATCAGGGAAAATTTTATTCAGTTTAGTTTAGAACAGTTTAGTTTAGTTCTAGATCTAGGTTGTGTTCTGTGCACAACCTTGAATTGAATGAGAGTATGCCTAGCGTTTATTGATGATGAATGTATTCAGGCAAGAATAAGATCCCAGATATTTTCTTCAATCAATAAATTCAGATCCTCCTCCCAAAAAGCCCTCGTTACATGTGTTGGGGAGGACTGTTTTGTGTTAATAATAGTAATTATTAAAAAAAAAAAATGACTTTTTTAAAATTGATTTTCTAAGTTCACTATTATTAGCCACTTTAAGAATGATTTTGGGTTTCTGATTAAGTACAGAACAATCCAATGACTTGTCCGATGACTTTCTTAATGACCAATGACATATTTTATTACTATAGGAATCAGTATTTTGTTGAAGATTCTAATTATTCAGTACCAAAAAAATGTTTACATTCAAACTGTAAACTGTTTGTAAACTGTTTACTGTTGTAAAATAGTACTTCTTTGACTATTTGATCGTTTGTAACAGAAATAAAAATACTGCTCAAAATAAAAAAAATTGAAGCTGTTTCATAACCATACAAGATCACAGTGATTGTGGAAGACTTAAAGGCATAGTTCACCCAAAAATAAAAATTCAGTCATTTTTTACACTCCCTTTACTTGTTTCAAACCTGTATGACGTTCTTTTTTCTGTTGAACAGAAAATAAGATATTTTGAACAAAGTGGGGAATCTGTAACTATTGACTTCCATAGTATCAGTATTCCTACTATGAAGGTCAATGGTTACAGGTTTTCAACATTTCTCATAATATCTTTTTTGTTTAACACTAGAAAATCGAGACTGTAATCCTTTAACTGTTGATCGTGCAGCTTTACTCTCTCTCTGATTGAGATGACATCAGCAATTTGTGTCTTTCTCCCTCATTCTCTGTGTGTGTTTTGTGTCAGGTTGCAGAGCGGGCTCTGTATTTCTGGAATAATGAGTATATTCTGAGTCTGATTGAGGAGAACTGCCAGGTCATCCTGCCTCTGGTGTTCGGGACGCTTTACAGAGTCTCCAAGGAGCACTGGAACCAGTGAGTGTCTTTCTGAACCCTTCACCAACATTCATGCTGTTGACATTAGTCAAGAATACTAAACTGCACTGTGTTGCGTTTTTCAGGACGATCATCTCTCTCATCTACAATGTGTTGAAGACGTTCATGGAGATGAACAGCAAGCTCTTTGACGATCTCACTGCCTCCTACAAAGTGGAGAAACAGAAGTGAGTACAGGACAGTCTCAAAAAAGTAAAAAAAATAAAAAATAAAAATAATTTATATATATATATATATATATATGTATATATATATATATATATATATATATATATATATATATATATATATATATATATATATATATAAAGAAGATCACTGGTTCGAGCCTCAGCTGGGTCAGTTGGCATATCTGTTTGGAGTTAGCAAGTTCCCTCCACGATTGCGTGGACTCCGAGTGCCTGTAGTGTATGTGTGTGAATGCGTGTGTGTGGGTGTTTCCCAGTGATAGGTTGCAGCTGGAAAAGCATCCACTGCGTAAAAAACATATGCTGGATAAGTTGGCAGTTCATTCCACTGTGGCGACCCCAGATTAATAAAGGGACTATATATATATATATATATATATATATATATATATATTAGGGATGTAACAATGTTGTAAATACAGTCATACCGCAATAGTAATTTTTTTCAATATTACCGTAGGCGCATGACTCAATAAAACTATATTTCTGAGAAAAGTTTGCTTAGGCAAATGAAGCGAACAGAAGTTAGCGGGAACTACAATTCCCATAAGCCTAGGCGTGGCCATCATCCTTTGCGGTCTGTTGTCACTACAGATTCAGTAATGCGGAAATGGAGTGTGTTGCTAGTAGCGGGGAAGAAAAAGAGCTGGAAATGATCGAACCTTAAGCGGGTTTTAAATCGGATGTGTGGAAGCATTTCGGTTTCTTTCTAAAAAGATACGAAAAAGGAGAAAAGATGACAAAGAAAAAAACTGTATGCAGGCACTGCCAGACTGTGGTGAAATATAAGTCAGGGAATACGATTAAAAACAGTCATGGGGACTGCAGAACACAGCACACTTGTTAGATTGATGCAGACATTGACTTGTACCGCAAAGAGACCTCTATCTCACTCTATGTCCTCTCAAGTGGTGGAAAGACAATGCACAATGTTACCCACTGCTGTCAACCTTGGCTAAATCATATCTCTCTGTCCCAGAAACCTCAGTCCCAAATGATAGGGTTTTTTTTCTGTTGCAGGGGACATGCCCAGAGATCCCAGCTTTTACCAGATTATAGTTATATGATAATTTTCCTTAAAAAACCCATCTCTATCTAAGTGAGTGAGTGATTAAATGTTAAATGTGATGAGTTTTTTAACAATACTAAATTGAAACTTTATTTTTTTATATGGTTTAATAGTTTTTTGTTATTAAAATAGAAAAATTAGTTCCTGTTTCGAAACTTACAGCTAGATGGCTAATTTGTATGTCATTGATATGTTCAGTGCTAAGGTAAATAAACACTTTTGGCACTTTTTTAGAATCTTTTCATTAGTTTTGTTTTTCCTGTAAATTATTCAGTAAATACCGTACTGTGCCATTCATACCGAGGTATTATCGTACCATGAAATTCTGATACCGTTACATCTTTACATCATTACTTTGAGCACATCCAGTGTCTTGATCCTCTTTATCTGTACATAAATGTGTTTTCTTCTCCGTTTCCCACTCTTTCTCCCTCATCTCTTCTCAGGGAGCTGAAGAAAGAGCGGGAGCGAGTGGAGCTCTGGAGGAACCTTGAGGACCTGCGCGAGCGGCGGCTGCAGAGTCTGACTGAGGCCAGCAGAAACCAGAAGAACCTGCAGGAGCGAGAAAGCACCGCCAAGAGCCAGTCAGACACAAGCGCTGCCAACACCACCTAGAAAACACAGACACAAAATCACACACTGATCTGAACCAATCAATGCCTCAATCGCTGTCTAAAACACACACTCACACACATGCAGACACTACCGTCACAAGCACATGAACGTCAGGCTGTCCATATGTAGATATCTGAAAAACACTGAAGCACACATGATCACACACAAACAAAATGAGTGAGGTATAAAGAGAAACAAACACATGTCCTACTCTTTCATACACGCTTCTGCATCTTTTCTTTCTATTCCAACACGTCATGCAAAAGAAACACACCTGCATGGGGCGAGACACACACACACACACACACACTTGAAAAAATCCAAAACGTACATCCTTCATTACTGTCATTCCAGAACTGGCTCTGTTTCGCTCGGGTTCAATCCGAGACCCCCGTCAATCGACCAACAGACTCTGCATACTGTCAAACGCTGAAGAGGAATGAATAACGATGATGACGACTCTTTAAAACGTACAGATTATAATGTTCCTACTTCTACAGCTTATTCTATGAGTACTTCTATGCTAATATAACTGATGTTTTATATATATATATATCTATATATAAATATGATATCTATGTCTGATTATAGTGTTGGTGGGGGTATTCTAGTGTAGCACCTCATAAACATGACTGAAGTATGCTGCTAGGTAAAACTAAACTTGTTCTGAAGTGACAAAAACACTTTAGTCTGTTTTTACGTTTTTATTTTTTTAAATCAAAGCGTTTGAGTTAGCAATATTCTCGTTCCTTTCGAACAATGTGTGTCCGGGTTATTTATTTTATTAGTATTTATTTCAATTCGATTTGCTTGCAGACACTCTTTTGTTGCGTTTTACGTTACAATTTTTAAGAGTCTTTTTGTTGTATGTTGCTTTTATTTATTGGTGTTAATGGGACGGAACTGTGTGTCGGCACATTGAGAAAGCTTAGGAAGAGATTGATGCGTGCGTGTATGTGTGTGTGTGTGTGTGTGTGGATGTTGTAGAGATGTTTATTACGGTTTAGAAGAAAACAGGGATTAGATCAGAATGTACAATTCACTTTGAGTGTGCGTCGACGCTCAAATGAACTGCCACTGTTGATTATTGATTTACAGTAGTCTGTGTGTATTGGGAAAAGAATGAGAGATGCAAACAAAAAGAGCGCATCTGGATCGACTCCCTTTGTTTGGCTCCTAAGAAATCTGCAGAAACATCACATTTCATAGAAACAAAATGGAAAAGAAACATTGAAATAGTATAGACACGGCAATAAATATGGACTGAAATTGTACGCATACGTAGCATCACTTAAACTAGAGTTGCACTGTCCTTTTGATCAATGTCTTGTGTTTAAACATAGCAATGTATTTTTGGGGGACGAGCGGCTTTGGGATATGAATGTACAATAGTGGGATGTAAACATGACAAATTGTGTTGAATAACTCAGAATCAAGAACACTTCTGTCATTATTTTCACTCAACCCTCATGAAAATGAACCATGTTTTTTTATAGTAAAAGTATAATGATCAAGGTTTGCTAGTTCATGTAAAGAGGAACATTTACTCACTATTTACTCACCCCATAGGTGTTTTCAAACCTTTATGACTTTCTATATTGAACACAAAAGAAGATATTTAGGAGAAAGCGTGAATCCTGGTAATCATTGACTTCCATAGTAAGAAAAACAAATAACATGGAAGTCAATGCTTTAAAAAAATCTTGTTTTGTGTTTAACTAAAGAAAGTCAAACAGGTTTGGAACAAGTAAAGGGTAAGTAAATGATGACAGAATTTACATTTAAGGTGAACTGCCCCTTTAAACCATAGATCTCAGACTAAAGGGCTGCATCTCTGCACAGTTTTGCGCCTAATCAAACTCAGGTGATCGAGACTACTAGAGACTATTAAGCAGGTGTGATTTGGAGGTGGTTGGAGATAAACTATGCAGAGCTGTGGTCCTTCAGGAATTGAGCTTGAGACCATTGCTTTAAACTATGGTAAGTGTAAAAAAAACTATGGATAATTTGTGGTTATGGCTTAACTACAAAACTTTATTTTTACTTTTATAAAACGTGCGTAAAACAATGGTTAATTTTCGTCAGGGGAACCCCCCTGACACATCTGGGGTTTTGTAGCCTACCTTTTGTTTTACTTCAGAAAGGTGCTGATGATTCAAATACTGATCTTTTCATTCAGTTTCAGTGAGGCCGATAACGTAGTTCACATCATTGACACGACGCTGATGTCACTCCGCTTAATAAAACACAAGCAGATGATTAAAACATGTCTGTTTTGCACAATAGTGTTGTAATGTTCCAGGCTAGATTAGTGGGAACTGTAATTAGAGTGATGTCAGATTGTCTTATAAACGCTTTAAAACAGCAAGGCAGTCAGTCGATCGGTTACTTCCCAAACACGTTTGCTATCTGCTTGTGGACATCAACAGGTGAGTTAAACTCCTTCAGTTCCTTGTTTTATAGCTGTTTTGTGTCGTTCAACATGATTAGGTTTTCGCCTTTTCCTAATTCATCGCGGTATATTTAGCAGTCTTGAAATGCAGAGTGTCTTGATTTGATGGTTTCATTAGTCACTTGACCAGAGCTGTTCCAGATGACGCCCTTCTGAAAGAACGACCATATTTTATAAATATAGGCTCATATTGAAACGGTCGATAAAAAGGTCTGTAAGGACTGCTTTGTCTTACATTATAAACTGTACATTTCCAAATATTGTTACATTAAATGAAAGGAAAATATGAGACTCATTTATTGTTGGATTATTCACCATTTGCTCTTCTTTCTTTCCATTATTAATGTTCAATTAGTATGCACTTTTAACTCTAAATATGACACAATACTTTGTCTATTTGTATGTACTCAGAAAAATAGTATAGAAGTAGACTATAGCTATTTAAAATGACTTATCAAGTAAAAAAAAAAAAAAAAAGTTTCAAGTTTTGTTTTGGTTGCCCAAAAGTTTCTTCAAAGAACCATTTTTATAAGATTTAAATTTTATATTTCCCAGAGATGGGTTGCGGCTGGAAGGGCATCCGCTGCGTAAAAACCTGCTGGATAAGTTGGCGGTTCATTCCGCTGTAGCAACCCCGTATTAATAAAGGGACTAAGCTGACCAAAAAATGAATGAATGAAAATTTTATATCCCAAAGAACCCTTTTACATTTAAAACCTTATTTAAAAAAATGTATGGTTCTTATAAAGTACATATTCCGCCTCACTAATCCTAAGCTTGAGAATTTGAGGCAAAAGGCACAGTTCTTTTTTTCTAATAGTGAAAACGGTTTCTTTAAATATTTTCTGACCAATTGTGAGGTAAACTAGTAAGAAAAATTTATTTATATTTTTTTCCACTGGTTTGGTTTTGGATTATTTAATGAACCAGCCAACGAGTATAGGCCTACAATGATTTGGTCCTGATATCTGATATTTCTATAATTAAAATCAGAATGAAGTCAAAAAAATCATATATATATATATATATATATATATATATATATATATATATATATACATATATTGCTTATTATAAAAAATCTGCACTTTTATTATTTTGTTAAAATAAACTTGCCCGGTTGTTCTTCACTTCTCATTACATGGAATGCCTTTAGGGCTAGGCTATCAGTAGGAATCTCGTTTCTGCTCTGAATTAGTTCATTCATCAACCTTCCTTCATTTTGTTAGCATCATCTTCCAATAATTCAGTTGGTTGCCAAAGGATAAAGTCATGCACCACCCTTAACTTTTTTTTTTTACCAATTGCTGGATCATTTCAATCAGACATCAAGATATGGGGAAAAAGGATGGTCCTTAACTTTGTTTCATCCCAATTTTAGGTTCAGTAGTTAAGAAAAGCCTGTTACATATTATAATTTTGATGCATATTTTTCAATGGAAGTCAATGGAGGAATATGACTAGTCATAATATATTTGCAGATATCTCCAATCTGATTTCGTACTATTACAATTGTAATTGCAGATATCTCTAATTGTCATTCTGACAAGTCGAATTATAATAATGACTTGTCAAAATATATAATTATATCTCTAAATATATTTATGGATAGTCAGAACAAGGTTTAAATGTTAAAACGGCTTGCCATACGCTCATTTAGCAGCACAGTGAAGATTTCTCTAGTTATATCCTTTCAGTCGTTTGTTATGCAGTGACATGCAGTCAAATATTTCGCCAAACAGTCCTTAGGGATGCGGGGACACACAGTCAGATATTTTACCGAACAGATCCGCCACTTTTGGCGCTCATAAACAATCAAAGCTCTCGTGCTGCAGGAATGAGGAGGTCTGCTGAAGGCGCGCAGCTGGCGTGCTGTGAGGAGTTTGCGTCTTTAATAAACTACGGCAGTTTGCGATCACTGAACAGTAAGAATGATTAATAAATCCATATCAAACAGTCCCTTAAAAGTCACGTCTCGCTTTCAGTTTCGGGCTTTGGCGCGTTTCGCGCTCACACACAAGCGTACCGCGCCAAAGCCCAAGTGTACCGCGCTCAGGCACACCTCTTCCAACCGGGCCAGGGCCGGCCAAGTGAACCGTGCTTGAGCCCGATTCAGCGCACTCACACTTCTCAAACGATTCGGGAAACGGGCCTGGGCACGGTACGGATGGCATAGTGTGAGTAGGCCCTTAGATATATAGTATAGATGTAGGCTACACTAGCTACTTTTCAACTAACAAAACAAAGGTTTCAAAACTTTTTTTTTTTATTTTGGTTGTCTAAAGAGCTTTGTATTGAATGTTTCTTCAAAGAACCAATGTTTTTTTTTTTAGTTTGGATAACATTATTAACCCAAAGAACGCTTTTTCCATTACTTTGTGAAATTCAAAAATGGTTCTTTGGATGCTCAAGTTTTAAGTTGGCAGCAAATGAATATAGGCCTAGAGATAGTTAATAGATATTTTCTAAAATATTAATTTAATTACAAAAAAATTATTATTTTTACATTACAGTTATCATTGCATCTAATTGACTAACTGAACAAACCACAAAGTGTTCATTCGTGTACATGACTGATCTTTGTGTATGAGGCCTCTGTCTTGCCTCTAGCTTTTATATATAAGAACAGTGTGTTGAAAGACTTTGTATAATGTAGTTTGTTTAATTCCTGTAGAATATGGCTCACCATTCAAAACCCTAATAGGCACGTTGTTGCCATCTGCTGGTGACATGTTGAACTGCAGTCAGTTGAAGAAAACCTTTATTTGATCACAAATAATTGAAGGCCATTTGGTCGTGCTTCTAGTGCTATCTATGGTGAGATGTCTAACTATTTGTTTGTATATGTCAACTTTTTTTTGTATGATAGTGCGACTTTCATTATATAATACTTTGAAAATTTCCTCTGGGGTAGGTAGATATGAATTTGTTATGAGCGCACACCTTATTTATTCAGTTGTTTTAGCAGATTATTTAAATACAATAAATAGTACTTCAAAACATGTCTTGCGAATCACATATCCGTGACCAGGCATAAAGAATTGGTTAATAGAAGATGAAATGCATCTCTTATAACAATTATCAAATACAGTGCTCTGCATATACATTATCAGTGCATCAGTGCACCCTTCACAAATCTCCCTTTTATATGTATATTTTATATAGGATGCTTTTAAAATATTATATTTGTGCATATGCATTAGTTTAGTCAGTACTGAAGCCAAATCTGGAGCTTATCGAAAACAACTTCAGGTCACAGTCCACAATTTAGTACACTAAAATGTATAAGTTAGGGGAAAATATTGAACAATAAGACGAATTGTTTTGCCAAAATTTTGCTTTTAATTTAATATATATTGTCTTTTCTATTTCTAGAGATCAGTGACTAAAATAATATTTAAATAAATAAATCTGTCTAATCTGTTTTGTTTAAATGCACCAAAGTATTTTACCTAAATTCGCTGAGAAATGGATATTGGTGTACTCATTTATCACTGCACATGTTTGTTATTTATCATTTCCTTCAGAATGTTGCTTGAGCACCTCTCCGTGACCTTTTTTGCTCTTGTTTCCTGGGTTTTGTTCCATCACGGTTCTAACGACCTTGCAGAGTTTTCGTGGCTGCGCAGTGCGAGATTTCACTTTGGTGGCCCAGAAGCCTGGCTGCAGGCGTCTGCGCATCAACACCGAGGCATGCTGGGGCCACTGCCACACCAGGGAGGTGACCAAACACACCTGCCATACTACACTTATTTATAAAGTTATAGTATATAAAGACCAAACAAATACGAGTGTGCGGTGCATTTATTTCTGCTTTTGTTAGCTCAGAGGCTGGTTGTGGAGCCGCCGTACATCGAGAGGCACCAGCGTGTCTGCACCTACAGCCGCACACGCCACCTGACTGCACGCTTACCAGGCTGCCGTCCTGGAGTCTCCCCTGTCTATCATTACCCTCAGGCCTTTAAGGGTGACTGCAGATACTGC